ACGTGGGCTTTGCTTCCCAAGTTGACTCCTTGTCCTCCGTTGTTCTCCTCTCCTAACAGCTCTGCACATACCTGCATCTGGAGCAGGCCCCAGCTGTTCTTCCTCCTCATGCATATCAGCCTCCAAAGGCAGCTGCCTCTCCAGTAGCTGGGAAATGTCGGATGGCCCTGGCTCTTTCTCTGCGTCCGATGCAAAGCATCCACCAGAACCTTCTCCAGACTCCAGAACTGGCCCAAGTTCTTCCCCAACCTCCTCATTGTTCAAGTCTGGTGGGCCACAACACTACACTCTTAGTAAACCTCTTGTATCGTGCAGTGATTCTTTTTTAAAGCTTGGGAACAAACATATAATTGGGAAGACTTTATATATCTATTTCTCATCTTAGGATATGGAATGGAAACTAATCGACATTTTCACTTGTCCGTCTTATTACGTATTTTGCGAATATTCCTAGGAAGCTTTACCTGGAATTATAGATTTTTATTTATTTACTTGTACCCCTTGGGCATTACAATATGAGGATATTAACGTGTGCATTTTCAAACCATTATTTACGTCTACTTTTTCTATCCTCCACCTCCATTGGCCCTGTCACTCCCAGTGCAGCTAATAATTCAGGATATAATATTGCAATAATATTTTAATAGTACAGCAGCTGCAGCCTAAATCAATAGCAATAAAACAGGAGGACAAGTGAAAACTGGATTTAAGATCTCATAGCAAGCTAACAAAGTTTTTTAAAAAGCAAAAACACAAACCAGGGAGCTGTTTTAATACATTAAAAGAAAAAAACAGCACCGGTTTGTTTATTTTTTTTTTAAAGAAGAAAACCATGAATTTAACGCTCCTTGTGTCCTTTTGTGAGTTCTCTCTCTCTTTCTTTTAAAGCGTTGCAATCATCGGAGTGATTATGGAAGGGCTCCTGAAATTGCTCTAAACTACAATTTAACCATAGCTTAGCAAATAATCCACCACGGGTGGCATCACGGAAGGAGACGCATGACAGCTAAAACAGTTTATGGCTTTCTAAATTGGGCTAAAGCGAATAACCACAATCTGAAAGACAGAGCAGAAAAATAGGCAGATGGAGCTGGATCCGGAATACAGCTGGGAGGGACCTTGGAGGTCTTCTAGCCCAACCCCCTGCTCAAGCAGAAGGCCTTGTACCATTTCGGACAAGTGGCTGTCCAGTCTCTTCTTAAAAGCCCCCAGGGATGGAGCATC